GAAGATTTTATTTAGTTATTAAATAACAAGATTTCAATTGATTCAGTAATTTTGTTGTAAAGTTATCATTTTTTTATTGATTTCGGCAAACGTTTAGGCATTGCATCTTACTATTACGATTTTAGGTAACACATTAAGATTTAAATATTTTTTTTATATTTTTACCTATCTGAATTTAACTACCAACAGTAAATTTACAAACAAAACCTAACGACATCGAAAAAAAATAATAATATAATAACTAATAATGTAAAACTATAAAATATATTTTATTGATTTTTGCAAATTTTCATCCTACTACTATAATTTTAATTAAGAGATTAATATTTATTTTTTTTTTACATTTTTACTTATGAATGTAACTACCAACAGTAAATTGATTAAGTAAAACATCAATGACATACAAATACTTACAACTTCGAGTCCAGAAATTTAATGCATTTAGCTTTGAATAAGATAAAATTTCTAACCCTTCCACATTTTTTGCGCTTTAATATATAAACAGATATATTAAACTTTTAATTTATATTCAGTTAAAATTGAAGTAATATGAAAAATTTTTAATAGATATAATACTTTCCTTTGGCAACAAGTTTGATATTTTGCAAGAACCTTAAGCAAATACTTTTATATTAAAAAGCCCAGTTAGTTCTCGATCGTCATACATGCCTTTAAAATACAAATTATAAAACTGACACATATTTATTTGCATAAGCAAATCGGTTACCTTTATTACACTAAGGAATTTCTCTTATAATATGGGTTAAAATTATGACGATAATTATTAATTTAAACTCAGTGAAAGTCTTGAAGTGCTTCAGCTTTCAAAGCTTCATTGTTGAGTACTGTAAGAAATTAGAAAAAACGTTTAGGAATATTCATTTAGCCAATTTACTAAACCTAGCACTTACATAAGACAACTATGACTAAATAACTACTCTCAAATGTTTTCTTAATAAACATTATAAAGTATTTTTTGCCTTCTTCCAGCATGCCTTCGTGGTTTAACGGTAGCACACTTGGCGCGTATTCGAGAGGTCCAGCTTCAAGTCTCGGCAAGAACATCGTTTATTTTCGTGTATTCCTGCTTCAAAATGAACCAATTGACACCACAATATGAAAATGGCACCCTGCTCATGTTTATCTGTTTTTAGTAAAAATCCTGTATTAACTTATGAACTTATTGGTGCTTATGAATCACGAAAGTTAATCTGTATTATTTTTGATTATAATTAGCTCACTTAATGAGAGTTATATTAGACCTCATTATTATGTTATCTACATCCAATAGCATCATGCATTAACTGATTTAATACGTGCAATTCAGGAATTTTCACGTGAGTTCCATATTCTTACAGAATGTTTTAAGTAAAAAGAAATATGAAAAGAGCAGATTACTAGAAAGCAAATATTATTCACATTGTTTCACTAAATGTATGAATTTTTAATTTCCGACCAAAAACACGGTTAAAAAGGCAGAAGCAGGAGGGAAATATTTAAAAAATATTTCTTTTTTTTTTTTTTTTTACTCTGTTTACTAAATCATTCGTTGCTTGTTGCTATTTTGGAATAACATGGATTCAGTGATAACTCATGTCTCACTGCCACCGCTGTTCATTAGGTACATCTCTCTTCCAATAAAGGTTGCTTTAGATTCTTCATCTTTCCCTTCCGGCGCAATACATCTCATACATTCTTTGATGCTTTTTCGTACGAACGATCCTGGAATCCCTTCAATAGCAATTGTGTTTTAATTTCCTGCACTTCACGTTCTGCCTGCGTTTACTGACGATCAAGCAGAGTCAGTTTCACTTGAAGACCCTTTTTGAGTAATGGCATTCACTTAAGCAATAATACTTATTGTACCATCACTTGTTTTTGTGAATGCTTAGCCACTGTCGTAAATTTTGCATTGGTACTCAATCTTATCTTTACTCCCACTAGGTACTGGCATCAAAAACTACACTGGTTATCATAAATTAAGGAAAAATCACAAAAATAGCAGCAACTCCCTCAAAAATAAGCCAAACTGTGTAAAATTTGAATATTGCCAAGTAAGAGTATCTGAGTAAAACTGCAATATACAAATTAGTGGCGCTGCACTTGGAATACGTCATCTGCGAGGAGCATAAAAGTCCATGTTTGACAGCAAGCCCACATATTTGACTGTGATAGCGACATCAGAAATCTTAGATAGCCAATTCGTAACAATGACCTCCAGGCAGCATTTCTGCAGAACTAGCTAGAAAGCCATTGGAGAACTGAGGCACGACAAAGTCAAACAGAAGTGGCCAGATGGCTAACTGTGAGCCTTCTGTGGTTCATAGACTTGGAGGCAATCGAATCATAGTTCGGCATAGGAAGTTCAGCCAAGGACGGCCACGCTACACGCGCCGATGATCGATATTTGACATTATGGCACTCAGAATAGAACGTCTTCGACTCTTCTTAGATCCTTCCTTGCTGCCACCGGGTTGGTGTCACGTCAACTCTGCGTAGAAGCTTCACGAAGTGGTTTGTATGCGAGGTAACAACCTCGCATACGACCACCGCTAGTCACGCCCCGTCAAGTCACGCCATAGGGAGACCGTTTGCGTGGGCACGACAACTCCGCTGAGCCTGAGCAATTGAGGGCTGTTCTCTTTACGGATGAGTAGGTTTAGTCTAGAACGATAGTAGGCGTTATTTGATGTGGAAGAACCTGGAACCGTTATCATCCCTCAACATCCGTGAATGAGATGCAACGGACGCAGTGCATTGCTTGGGGTAGATCTCTTTGGGTAACGCCCCTCCATGTTTCCAAGGGGACCGTGAATGCTCATTATAGAATGACATCCTTGATGCTTAGCGCCCTATGCCGGGGCATAGGTGAGCTTTCCTGTTACAGGACGACAATGCCAAATACACAGGCTGCATGGTATATGGTTATTTTCAAAAGGAAACAATAATGCGCTGAGTGGCCAGCTCGATCCCGGACTGGATCCTAACGAGCACGTTTGGGATGCTTTAGGAGACGTACTGCTCTCAATCGCCCTTTAACCCTTGCCGCGCTTGCAACTGCATGCAAGCATGCTCTCGCTCCTGGGATGATGACCATATTGAAATCAGGCATCCTCTGTATGGCTGTATTGCTTCTAGAGGATATATTCCATACTGAAGGTACTTTTACTATAGTAACTGACATCTTCGATTTGTATTTTATGCTGCTAATTTCTATACTACTGTTGGTAATTTCTTTTATGTTTTGATACTTACTATGTTTGTATATGGGGTACGTTTCATAAATTTCTATATGTACCTTTTTCAGTAATCGTGATTTTTGTGATTTTTCCTTAATTTATGATAATCAGTGTATATTTCTTCCTTCCGTTTCACCAAGTGACCCTCTTTTTTCCACAATATAAATTTTCATTACTCGTTTTACTATATTTTATGATATAAAACTCATAAACGAAGCATAATACCGCAGTAACAGCGTAAAAGGCATGAGAAACAATTTATGTATAGGTGCACTACCAGAATTTGGCTGAATGCATCCTACCAGAATGGGCTCTATGTAGGTCTAAACGGGGTAACTTTACTAATTCAGAAGTCAAACAACAACTGTTTAATAACTACTTTAATTATAGCCCATCTTTAATTATAGCCCATCTTCTACAACTTTAATTATAGCCCATCTTCTACAAGCAATAAAATGGATTTAACTGAAGCTGCTGGTATCCGATTCCAAAGCCATATTAGTATCCCATTTCAACGTCATGCGTTTTCCAATTGAATTAATAATTTATATAATTTGAAAAATGTTTAAATTCATTTATTAATATATATTTTTAATATGTTATAACTTGTTTCTTAATTGAAAAATTATTTGTAGTTTACAAGAATCATTAAAAAATTGTATCCATGGTTCTAAGGATTATTTATTGCAGAGTGCCTAGGGCACACCTCTACATCATAGAAATAAAATAAGTGAGCAGAAGAGAAAGGACACATGATATTGTATATAAGGTATTTTCTTCTTCCTTTCTGCATACCCTCGTGGTGTAATGGTTAGCAAACTCGGCGCGTATTCGGGAGGTCCAGATTCGAGTCCGACGAGGGCTCTGCATATTTTTCACGTCTCCTGCTTTCACAAAATCCTAATTCTACAGTGGCGCTGTAGGTGGTGGATTAAAAAAGAGAAAATATTGTGAATGACAAAACTAAAAAGGTGGTGGATGATGATTCTTCACCACTAGGATTTGACGACTGGGCCCCCTAATTTCCAGACACACTTTAAAAGGGGGAGTATATAAAGTACAAACCGTGGGTGCAGCCCGACCTAATTAAGCAAGCAAGTTGGTCTTATGGTCATATTTTCCCCTTCCTTTCTGCATGCCTTCATGGTGTAACAGTCAGCAGACTCGGCCCGTACTCGAGAGTTCCAAGGTCGATTCCGAAGATGCCATTGCCTACGTTTCACGCCTCCAGCTTCCAAATAACCTAATGACACTAAAAATAAAGGAAAATAAATTAGGAGGAAGTCAACTAGAGAAAGTACAGGAGGGAAACTAAACTTTTAAACATTTTAAAAATTCAGAAAATTTAAAGGTGATTATCATGAGTCGATCGTGGAACATCTCAGTTTCGAGTCTTACTAGCCAATCACTGACCTAGGGAGAGCACAAAAAGCGCTTTTATTTTATTTACATACGTGTTTGGTATTTCATATTTAGCTTTGCAGTTTAGTTTATCATGTCAAATATTTGTAATAAAGTTATTATCGGGTTTTAACAAAAGTCTTGTGCAACAATCACATTTTTGTCAAATGATTTTTGGCATTTGAAAGAAAGAGACTTGCTTTAGTTAGAGACTTTTAGACTGTTGCGAAATTCGTAAAAACAAGTATAGTTATTATTAAGTACAAGGTGTCTGAAATGGAACTCCCACGCTACTAGATTAGAGACATCATTTACTTCCAGTTCTGTTGCAAAAGGTCAGCTACAGAATGTCACCAAATAATGTGTACAGCTTTAGGTACTAATGCTGTATCATATGATACTGTGAACGTTTGGTACCTAAAGTTCAAAAACAAGAGCTATGGCATTCAAGAAGCAGAGGGCTTTGTCTTGCTTACTGATGCTGATGAGCACCGTCTCCCAGAACTTGTAGAAGAAGATCTGTATGCAACCACTCGAGAGCTTACTAGGGAGTTAGACGATAGTGCCATGTCCATTAGGCGCGATATGTTTCGAATAAACGTGACGTACAAGATCAGTCGCTGGGTGTCACACGAGCTGACTCAAACAGATAAGAACAGACGTGTTCGGGTTTGCACAAATCTGCTCGAATATCAACGCAAAGACAAATTTCTGGACCGGATCGTCGCTTGTGATGAAAAGTGGATTTACTTCAAAAAGACAGGTCGAAAATTTCATTCTGCGCTCGACATCCTTAATCTGTTTTCGGACTCGCGGCCACAAAGTTTCTGGACGTAAAACGCTGAAAAACTACCAAAACGGTGGCAGGAAATCATAGATTTGAATGGTGATTTTTACCCGCATTAAAATTGCTGCTTTCACTTTTTTCCTAACTTTCTTACGAACATTTTCTGGCGGAAAACTTTCGTTTTTATGTTCGTTACAACCATATATTTTAATTCTTAAAAATCCTTTGAATTCTGTATAAAATTAACTTTGAATTCTCAAAATATTTTAACGTTAGATTTTATAATTAGTCCAAAGGGATTTGAATCCCGAAGGACTATTAGTTTCGTTTTGGCTTTTGCGTCGACTCATAAATGTCGGTTCACTTTCACACTGTTGCCATAAAATGTTAGAGTCCTGCATTATATTTGAAGAAATTAAATAATGAAAAATCTGCATAAATGTATGTATATTTCTCGTATTGTGATAAAACAACGGTACATAGAGTCATCGAATTTTGAATAACGTAATCCTCCAACGAATATGAGCATGTGGAAGAATAATTGGAAATTTGAAATTTGTTTTATGATCGATTTCCTATTTTTAAAACTTTGACGAATTTTTGATTAACAAACTCAAGGATTTCAAAGCGAGCAATGGCAACGTTGTGCAGAAAAAACATTTTTATCTCCAGCGCGTGAGTCTCTGTATCGGAAATTCTAAAGATATGCTCGTTTTAAAACTATTTTGCGATATTGCTGTTGCACTGGATCTTATGGTTTAAGTGCGAGGAACATGATATTTAATAAAGAAAGGTAACACACAAAATGTTAAAAAACGCCCCTTTGGACGTAATTTAAAATCTGAAACATTTCAGATTTTTTTTTATTATTTAATTTTAAAATCTGAAACATTTCAGATTTTTTTTATTATTTAATTTTAAAATATAGTTAGATGCACAAAATACATGCTTTCATGAATGTTACGGAATTTTCAGAAACATGCGAAAAATAATGAAATAATAAGAACTAATTTCTTTACATTTGTTGCATAGATAGATTTATTATGGAATGTAGAAATGGAAATTTTCTTTTCATTAGATTTAAAAACTGTATGCTTTCATTTCAGCTTTCATTGGTCTTTTTTTTCTGTTACTTAGTCATTAATAGACACACTGGAGTTTTCTGTAACGCTGTCTGATTTATATCGTTTTCCATTAGGACGAAAATGAAATGTCGCATAATAATGGGATTTCTGATTAAAAGCGGAATATATTCTTTTAACGTCTCTTAGTCCAATATGATTTTCCTTTCGTGTTAATATATGTTCTAAACATTTAATTTTCCTTTTCCCTAAATATTTTTCTGCGTACTGTTCGTCAAGTTCTTTCTGTATTCTCATGAATTTTCATCATTTCTCTCACTGAATCATATAATTATCCTGTTTGCGAATATTATTAAAAATATATTTTGAATATATTTATGTTCTTCCGATGAGAGATAGATAATAATTTATTGGAAAAGCATACGAATGCATTTATTACATTGGACATTTTAGCCTTTAGGAGTTGAAATTTAAGCGTTGTTTCTTGTGTTCACAATGACATAATTAAACGAAAAAAAATCTGAAAGGTTTCAGATTTTAAATTACGTCCAAAGAGGCGTTTTTAACGTTTTGCGTGTTATCTTTATTTAATAAATATCACATTATTTGCACTTAAACCATAAAATTCAGTTCAATAGCATGTCGCAAATAAGTTAAAATGGCCTAACTTATAATTTCCGATGCACATTCAACGCGCTGGGACAAAAGTTTTTTTTCCACCCGTAGATGTGCGATTGCTCGCTTGAAATCTTGAGTTTTTAATCAAAAATCCATTGAAGTTTACCAAATATGAAATCGATATAAAACAAATTCCAATTTCAATTGGTCTTCAATCCCATTCGAGGGGAATACGTCATTAAAATTCAATGGCTCTATTACGTGTTTATCACAATGGGAGAAATATACATACATTATGCAATTTTTCATTATTTAATTTTTTCAATATAATGTCGTCTCTAACTTTTGGGGCAACGTTTGAAAAGCTATATGGTATTTAGTGATCAAGAAAATCTCCAACGAAAACAAATTCTTCAGGGACCAAGCCCCTTTGGTCTAAAAAATGAAATTTAACATCTCTCTTTCCTCTCTTTATGTATATGTTAAATTATACATATATATATATATATGTCAAATATAAAATACTTATCTTTCAAATAATAAATTAGTAATAGTCGTTTAACTCCTGACTTCATTCTAAAAATAATATATATTTGCTAACTAAACTAAAAAGATACGTCATCTAATCTCTACTCCGCACTTATCGATGAAATCTGATCCCGACATCTGGGCATTAAACTCTCATGTGATCTGAAAGGGAATTCGTTATAAAAGCTGAACTGCTTCCCTTCTGCTTCTAGGCGCTTGTGCCGCCTTGCAGCTATCCGTGCAGAGTTTGCTTTTCTCATTTTCGTCCCTAAGATATAATCTGTATAAGAAGATGTAGTCTCTACAAAATTGGGGAGTGCATAGCGCACCCACAGTGGTAATGTGCATTATCAAGGAATAAAATCATGTGTAGAATTTATCGTTGCGTGTGTTCTTCGAGTGTCACTTTTGTAAGGATTTTAAGTTTTACTAAAGTTTAATTTATTTTTAAAACTTTGCTATCCTCTCTTCTTTCCCATTTACCGCCAGAATAAGCTCGAGTAGGAATTATTTATGATAATGAGGTTACAAAGTGTATAGGTATTTAAGATGTTGCTTTTAGCCAAGAGAAGAGAGGGCATTCTTGCTGCCCTGCCTTGCGCGTGCTTTTCAGTAAGTTCATGTCTGTCTTTTAAAGCCAAAATTTAGTTCTTGCTGTTATACCAAGATGTATTGTAGCATTTGCATTTCGCTCACTACATACGTAGTGTCAAAAAACCAATCTTAGCGTTAATATTCTCTGAAAAGCATTTCAATTAGTTCTTATTTAGTTATTTCTTACGTTTTAGACAAAAAGAGCTGGTCTCTGTGTCCGAAGTGCGGAAACGACTGTATATTGTGCGAAATAAAGGGTAAAGTTATGATGATTTTATTCTTATTGGTGCTGTTTGTCCTAAACACGCACGAGTACCCTGCTCCCTACTCCCGTTCAGGATTCCTAAATGTTTCTAAAGGCAATTAAGAGGAACAGCAGTCCTGACAGTGGCGCCCGAACTAAAGTATGGTGGATGATGTTTCCTCTCGCCCAGGATTTGGTCCCCTAATCACCAGTCGCCCTTTAAAAGGGGGAGTATATAAGGTATTTCTTCCACCTTCTTAGCAAGCCTTTGTAGTGTAGTGGTCAGCACGTTCGGCGCGTATTCGAGAGGTCCGTGGTTCGAATCCCGGCGAATGCGTTGCTCATTTTTCATGACTCCTGCTTCAAAAATACCTAATGACTCTACAATCTTGTCACCTTTCTAACTACGTAGCAGAGTCTTCAAGTTATAATGCAGTGAACTATGGTCAATCCGTTGCAACTTTCTTTCTTCAAGTCATCTTATTACAATAATAGTGCAGTTTGTGTATGTGTGTATCGTATAGAATATAAACGACACAACACTGAAGAGATTCTCCACCCCTGCATACTATTTTTGTGTTATCTGCGCGTTACATACATTATTCATGTAATGATTGGAGTGTAATATTTCAAGAAAAACAAAAACCTATTATGCAGTTTGAGTAAATTTTCAGAAAAAATTATAAAACATACTTTTAATAAGACAAAAATGATAAGATTTATTAATGTTAAAACTATCCAAAGAAAGTAGGAATCTCATTTAAACTTCCTACCATTCAGAAATTCTGAATTTATTTTTGTTTGTCCAAGACCGGAATTTAAACATAACAATCAATAGACAATTAATATTTTTGAATCAGTTTAGATTTCTTATAAAGTAATATTTTTAAGTTAAATGCTAAAACCTAATAAAATGATACTTTATCCTTTAAATAGATTATGCATTGCAAGATCACTAAGAAAGTAATGACTTCCGAGAAATACTGTTGCTAATGTATTTGATTTTTACTCTTGTGTTTTGAACATATGCGAGTTTCTTGTACAACACATATTTAAAGATAATTATTAAAAGTTACCTTGTTCGGAAAATGTGTAAATCATAAGATATATAATTTTTAATTACTTAAAATACCTTATTTTGTTTCTCTGAGATTACAGTTTTTGATGTTCAATTACGTAAACAAAGGGCCAGTCGAAAACCACCTGGCAAAAATGGAAAAGCAGGTAGAATGGACCGAAATAAACAAATTTTGTAATGGAATATATGTTAAAAAAATCTGATGTGTACACCACATGACTTTCTTGTACGGAATATTAAATTATACGCATTTTTTCTTGCATTTCATTTAACTTATTAGATTGAATTAAACCTACTTCCCGACAGCGCATAAACCACATAGAATAAATTATTCTTTAAAATTCACTTTGTTTACCATAGCGACACTCTGGCGCTAGGTTACTTAACAATATTATTTCGTTCATATTAAACTCAGAATGCACAAAATTTATTCTTTAAAGAATTATTAATCGTTGCCACATGTTTATTCAGTACTATAACAAAGCTGAAAGATGTATAAAAGAAATTAAGCAACAAAACGTAAAAGAAAACAGTTTTCACAGACGATTGAGTATTTCTCATTTAATTCAGTTTCACTTCGAGAAGGCAAAAATACATAAAAACTCAAAA